CCTGCACAAGATCCCTTTCGACAATGTTTCCAGGCGACAGCAGATTGATGTCATGCTTGGCAGCGATAATCCAGTATTCCACTACGTATTAGAAGAAGTTCGCGCCAGCCAACCAAGTGATCCCGTAGCACGCCTAACCAATTTGGGCTTGGTTTATTTTGGGCCAACGTTGGTCAACGAGTTTCCGCGCAACTCTCGTTCCCACTTCACACGCACGTACCGCACCTGCCATGTAGACCAGCAACCACCACCGGACGACATTCTACGCAAGTTCTGGGAGCTTGAAGCGATGAGAGCCGACGAAAGAGCAGCAACTGCAACTGTAGCTAGATCCCTAAAGTTTGAGAATGGTCTGTACGAGGTAGGAATCCCCTGGAAGGACGGAGAGCCGAAGTTGACTAACAATTACGAAGCGGCGTTGTTACGACTCCAAAGTCAAGAGAAATCCCTCGGAAAGAAAGATCATAGCATCCTGGAAGCCTACCGTAAAGTATTCAAGGAGTATGAGAAAAAGGGCTACATTCGGAAAGTACCCAAATTCGAAGTAGAACAGCAGTGGTTCCTCCCACGTTTTTCGGTCATTACGGGAAGAAATTGCCGGTTGTCCAAAACGCTAAAATTCTAGGCGTCACCATCTCTAGTAACCTTAAATGGACTAACCGCATTAACGAAGTCATCAAAAAAGCTAATAAACGTCTTTACTTCATTATCTTACTTAAACGCGCAAAAGTCAGTCCGAAAGACATTGTAAACTTTTACTGTACAGTTATCAGGCCCATCCTTCCTGTCAGAAGATCGTGAGACGGTACAAAAGCGAGCACTGAATCCCATCCTTCCTGTCAGAAGATCTTGAGACGGTACAAAAGCGAGCACTGAAGATCATTTTACCCGCGAACTCATATAGCGAAACTTTAGAATATTTCAATCTTCAAACTTTGTTCCAAAGACGCGACGAAATGTGTAACAAACTTTTTACAAATATTACTAACAATCCGACAAACAAACTGCATAATTTACTGCCTCCCAAACACGAGTCGGTTTACCAACTTAGGAACAATAGACTGTTTGAATGATTCGAAACTAATACAGAAAGATTTAAAAAAACTTTTATTCCTATGTCTAGTAACTTAAGTTAATGTAATTTTTAGTACTAATCGTTTTAATGACCATTTGTAAGTATGCCTAATTAACACATATTCTATCTTTTAAATAATGTTTTATATACTCTTGTAAATCACGCAATTCAGCTGTCCAGCTGCAAGGTGAATCTTAAATACACTATCTATCTATCTAAGCCAAGCAAAGATACGACTAAAGTTCGTGTTGTCTTCGACGCGGCAATGAAGCATGACGGAAAGAGCTTAAATGACAGCATGCGGCCAGGTCCGAAACTACAATGAGAAATAGTGGATGTTCTCACCCGTTTTCGTCGAACACCAGTTGCTTTGAGCGCAGACATTTCTGAAATGTTCCTGCAAGTTGGTCTACAAGACAAAGATCGTCCCTTCCACACATTCTTATGGCGAGATTTTGATCCTTCAAGAGAGCCCGACGTATACGAGTTTCGACCCCTGTTGTTTGGCAATACTGCCTCGCCATTCTGCGCACAGTATATAATCCACGCTCAAGCACATACAGAGACTTTCCCAGCGGTAGCAGAATCGGTGGATAACTCGATGTATGTTGACGATGTCTTAGATTCAAGCGAGACAATTTTGAACAACAATTCAAAAACTTTCAGTCGAGAACCAATAATAATATCGATATTCTATTTACTAAATTGGAAAGGAACCCAGATGCCGAGAAGGAAAAAGAAATTGATCGATTACGTGAGGAAAACTGTAAATTAAAGACGGACAATGCAGAACTAATTCATCGCCTCAATGAACATGTAAACACAATATCGGAATTAAATAATATAATCAAGGTTGCCGGAGATGAAAAAGCCAGTTTACTAACTGCTATTCGCTTAATCCAGTCTGATGATATTAATGTTAGATCAAACAATAACGAATCTCAAGTATGGACACGAATAGAAAGTAAAACCCAAGGTAAAACAAAGAACCAAACACCTTCGCGACGTATTAATCAAGCGAGCAACCAAATTCTAGAACCAAATCAATATGCCTCGTTGGCGGTTGATGAATCTAATGAAAACAAAGATATGGATCATAATGTCACCCCTAGTTCAACACATATAGAAAATTCGACAAACCCCGGTAGAAGAATACAACACCAAAAGGAAAAGCAAAGATACTCGGTCGAACCGACACAACAACACAATGCCTCAAGCTCAAAGTCTACCGAAGGCCCGATAGCGATCCTAGGAGACTCGATGTTAAAGAAACTAAGTCCTTCAAGATTACGCCGTTCGACTGGGAAAAAGATTATAGTCAAGCCGTTTCCTGGAGCAACTACTTCGGACATGAAGCATTATATTAAACCTACTCTGGAGAAAAATCCCCAACTAGTCGTGATCCACGTTGGAACAAATGACATCCAACATAAAGAGCCCGAGGAGATAGCTAAGGAAGTTGAATCACTGTGTAGAACTATCATGGTGAACGGCTTGTCAAAAGTCGCTATTTCAGAGATCATCCAGAGGGCAGATGACAAATTGAATACAAAAGTTAAAAAAACGAATGTTCTCCTGGCAAAGGTTTGTAAGAATAATAACTCGTCTCTTATTTCCAATAGTGATATAAATACTTCTAGCCTTAATGCATCTGGTTTACACCTAAATGATAGAGGAGCAGCAATACTAGCGAAGAACTATATTGATTTTTTCGCAAATGACTATATTCATCACAAATATGCATTTTAGACTATCTTTGCCATATTAACAATTTATCTGATAAGTCATCGGAATCAAGAGTAAATGAACAAACTTCTACGAGCACTAGCTATAGCGAGAATACAAATGAAAATGAATCTTTAATTCCAAAAATTAGAGGCTTTAAAATGGCAAGCTTAAATATTGCTAGCCTTCTAAAACATATTGATGAACTGAGACTAGTAATGCATAATAATGATATTGACGTACTCGCAACTAACGAAACTAGAATGGATAGTACTATACCAATTGAATTGATATCCCTATCCGGTTATACTTGGGTTTCCAAAGACAGAAATAGATCTGGTGGTGGTGTTGGCTTTTTCATACGTGATACAATTAATTTCCAGCTTAGATCTGACCTTAACGATCCTAATATTGAAATCTTAGCAATTGAAATTACCAAAAACAAAAGCAAGCCATTTCTACTTACCACATGGTATAGGCCCCCAAACGACCCTATCGACACACTTTATAAATTTGAAAATTGCCTTAAATTGATTGATAATGAAAATAAAGAAAGCATTATTTTAGGCGACGTTAATTCGGATATCCTAAGTAGCAATCCTTCACATCTTGTCTCTGAGATGAATTTCATCACTAATCTTTATCAATACGAGCAATTGATAAATGAACCTACAAGAGTCACAAAAGACAACGCAACTTTGATTGATCACTTTTATACAACAAGACCAGACTTAATAATTTCTAGTGGGGTAAGAATTATCACTGTTAGTGACCACTACTTAATTTACGGTATTCGTAAATTTTATACAACCAAGGGAGCCCCGGAAGTTGTAGAATATCGGGATTTCAAGCACTTTAATGAAAACAATTTTCTTTTTGAATTGGAATCATTATCAAGCCTAAATTTAGACCATTTAGATCCCAACATTTCTTGGTTAACTTGGAAAAATAAATTTTTTCATATTGTCAATAAACATGCACCCTTAAAAAAACGTAGAGTGTCTAAGAAACGTGTACCTTGGTTAACCCGTGAGTTAAAATATTATAAACGCCAAAAAGCATATCTTAAACGAAAGGCAACTTTACATTGAAGAATCATTATAATAGATTGATTAAAAGTACAATGCGTCAACACTATCAAGAAAAGATACATAATAATTCAGGTGATATTAAGAAAACATGGAAAATAATCAATGAGGTGATTAACAAGTCAAAAAAAGCCAATAAAGTACTACAGCTTAAAAATGAAAATAACGAAATTATTGATCAAGCGGATATCCCAAATCAGTTTAACAAATATTTCATTGAATTAGGGGATAATTTATCTAATGATATACCCTTATCAACGTCAACTCCCGACAGATATTAGTAGTATAGGGAATGAGGGTTCTAGACCACTTTTTCGGCCCGCGATCTCACCCAACTTCCGGTCAGCGGTTTCCATATTTTCCCTTAAAAACGCGGGCTCATATTTTTCTAGACCATATTTTCTATTATTTTTGGTATTATTTTTTCTATTATTTTTGGCATTATTTTTTCTATTATTTTTCTATTATTTTTCAGCATTATTTTTTCAACATTATTTAACAATTTATTTTTCCTATTGAGTGATGTCCGTAAGCGTAACTTGTAACACCATCTTCAAGTAGGTATCTTTTGTCATCGAAACAGCTGAGTGTAATTTTCTTTAGCTGGTAGGTTCCAATCTTATGCTTGATGCTTCGGATTGTGTTCATCTTATGTCTCATCCTACCTTTGGTCTTAATCACGTTCTTAAAGTTTTCATGAGTGAGCTTGTTTCTGATCACATACTTTTTCACACCTTTTGCTGTCATTCCACCTCCACCACTCTCCTTCACATAGGAGTACATCTTCGACCTTAGCCCAACGAATTCTATCACCGGCACTCCCGCAGCTTCATCCTTAAACTTTCCAATTACCTTCTTGTTATGGGCTGAGTAATACGGAGAATCTTTCGGATAATCTGAGTTGTCCCAACAGTCTTCCTTCTCACCGATCCTCTTGAAGTCCTCATACACGTCATCAGTCTTAATCTCATACATTAGACTGTCAGTGTCTGTGAATAGGAGCTTCGACTTGTCACCGTACTCCTTTTTGATTGTGTTGTAATGGAAGTCGTACATTAGAGTCTTGGATAAGTCTAAGATACTCATTCCCACATAACACGGCTTGTTCAGAGTTAACACTTCCTTCATTCTCTTTACCACGATCAGGCTCTCATTCATAATCCTATGTGACTGGAAGCATGGAGACGCCGTAAGTTTAAGGAGATCGTTTTCCGACGACACCAACTTCACATCAACTCTCTTCCTTAAATTCTCCATAGTCTTTCCGTAGATGGAATTATTCATAAGCTTGAAGAAGTTTTTCTCAAACGCATTCTTTGCAATAGATCGTTTTTGAGTATTGAAGTCAATGTACTGTTTCAGCCAAGTTGACTGCTTGAAGGAGACTGCTCTGTGGATCTTTGTGAGTTTCATTCCGAGTTCAGTATACAGTTTTAGATTCCTTACATGTAGAACGTAATTCTTCCTAGGACCCAAGGAGTTCACCAGTTTCCGCACACCTCCAATTGTCAGCTGGAATTTATCAGCAATATCCTTCGCATAGTCTGATAACATTGACGCATCAATTTCCTTACTCTCTGGAGCTAGAGGGTAACCATTATGAAGTTCATGAAGTTCTGCTGGATATTCCATGTCAACCTCAAGAACCATACCCCTTCCAGCGTCTCCTAAGTAGTCATCAATATTTATTTTGTCAACTTCCTCGATCCACTCAAACTCACCATTAGGCAGAGGTTGAGACATCGCCCAGCCATATAAATTGTTGGCGTCGAGGTACATAAGGAACTTGTTTTCAGCTTCTTCGTCATACGTTTCCATGTACTTATTATTCGCCGTGGAGTGTCTATGAGCAATATGACTTACCCCACCTCTCATTCCCTTCTCAAAGAACTGAAACATGTCCATATCACTTACCAACTCTATTTCCTCACCTGACTGTTTTAAGAACGCGTCCCAACTTAAACTAGGAGCTGAGATGTAATGTGCAGGGTCAAGCTTGTAATTCTCCAGGCAGGTCTTCCTGAAATTCTCAAAGACATCCGCTAGCAGAAGAACGTCAGTCTCAAGGTAGAGATCATGGTAGTCCCTCATCGTTTTCATTCCGAAGTGATCCCAAACTTTTAAAGCTCTTTGGTAATCTTCTTCTTTTACTTCAGATTCATACAGAGATGAATAGAACTTGTCTTTACTTGGAAGCCCCTCAGAGTCTAGTTTGCTGATGTCATCTAAGTATTCATAGGGAAATATTCCTTTCTGTCTCACAAGATCGAAGTCCTCTCCTTGCCACCTCTTACCGACTATCTTGAAGTCTTCAGGTGAAAGGTTATTCACAAGTGCCTCTAGAGAAGAAGCCATGAATTGAATTGAATCGATAAACACAAGACTTTTTCCTAACGAGAAAGAAATGTACTTTTCCATGTTATTTGGAACAACATTAATATTCATCTTGAACTTCCCAATCTCCTGCATTATTAGATGGCTATCGTAACCTCTTAGATTATGGACGACCACCGGAAGTTTCCATGTAATTCTATATTTCAAGTTACACATATTATGAGCAGCTCCGCGGTAAAGTCCAGTTACATGATCATGGTCCCTGACTCTATCATCACCTAAGTCACAGCTGCAGATGGAGCAGTTTCTTGTCATCCAGAACTCAGCTTCTTGTTCAGGTGTGATTACCATCTTTTTCTTGAAGATTTTGTTCACCATTTCCCGGCACCTGATAGATTCCTTCAGAACTGTCTTCAGGAAGACCTCTGTAGCATCTTCACCAACGTAACTCGTATATTCACCTGAGTACTGATCATCGTAGTGACACACTGTCTTCAACCCAAAACTGCAAGCTTTATGTGTCTGGTAAAGCTCAGTTGAACTCTTCTCCTCAGGGTCTTCAGATTCCACTTTCCTTTCCTCAGGAACAAGCATAGATTCAAAGTCAGCATAGATTACAAATGGAGCAGGCATTGAATTTCTATGATGACCGAACTTTATTTTTGAACCAGCATTGGGAAGCTTCGTGGCCTGAGTCCCATTTACACTAACACATGTCTCACTATGTTTCTTTAATGTTTCCTCACTAGTGCAACTATGAAGACAATACAAGCAGAAGTGTTTTTTGTTTGAGTTACCGCTAACACTGAAGAGCATTCTATTTACATCCTTTATTAGGACATAATGATTACCACCGTTGTTGTCACCTAACAGCAGCAACTCCATATGCTCATCATATTTTGTCTTAGAGTTCCTGATTGGGTAGAACTGCTTTTTTCCCTTATAACCGAATACTGAGATGCTTATTGAATTTCTTCTTTCAATTTTGTTGATATCGCTTATCTTGACAGGAAAGTCAATACCTTCATAATCCAGGTTCTCCGCGAACTCCCTATCTTGCTTTGTTATGGTAGTTGCCCTCCTAACCTTTGGTCTTAAATGTCTCACATGACACCACATAAAGCATTTTTCGTCCTTGTTTTGCATATTAATTAAGCCGCATTTTGGATTACTAATGTCTGCGGGTAATTTCATATATGAACTACCCTTGAGAGGTTTATACATTGCAATATTAACATAATGACTCTCAATGTTCAGAATAATCCAATTTGAACCTAAGTTCTGGAAAGTTTCAATTCTGGACAATATGGTCAGTTGATTTTGGGCTGCAGTGCTTTCGATATCCTCAAAGTTAGTTGCAGTTCCAGTTTTTGACTTAAAGTACACTGAATCTTTCTTTGTTTTATCATTTCCAATTTCCTTTGACATTCTCACCTTAATTGTCTCCGTATATTTTAGACCTCCCATTCTCTTCAACTCGTTCACTAGAATTCCCCTCACAACCTGCCTACTTGCCGTCATCTGGTCCAAGGGATCCATAAAGTTTGGAGTTATTGAGTAAGTCACCGCTGCACCATTTGCGGCAGTTTCTATCTTTCTATAGGAAGGCTTCTCAAGATACGTTCCAAATGGATCAATCTCATGTTCCTGTGGAGCGACCACAGCAGGCTGTTCCTTAACTTCTTTCATTACCTTTACGGGCTTCCTTAACTTTACAATTCTTTGAGTCTTAATGTCCTCGGGTGGGTTTCTTAACATGATGTTGTTCATGCTGGCTATCCTTAATAGGTAAAACTTATATCTAACTATATTGCGCCCCCGTTGCAGTCTAAGTCTTTGTATACATCTTACAATGCTTCTAAACTGCTCCCGTATGGTATCCCTATCCCCTGAAGCAACATGCTCTAATAAGTGTCTCTCAAACCAACGGACTCTGTTATGACAAGACTTCTTTTTCAGGTAGTCGTCCTTGTTGTGATTGTAACTAACGTAGTATGTGAAGTTGTTCATAGCACTAGTTCCGCAACGTGTGCATGTATCTGCTCCATCTATTACCACAATTGACTTACTACCACATTCACTACATACTGGGTCATATGTGTGTTTGACCTTCATTTTATTTCTCACGTATTTCATTACTGCAGTCTCTAGCTCCTCAATAGTGTTTGCGTTCTTACCGACTCGTTCCATTTCATCAGGTGTTACCAGTGTCAGCCAGTCCATCCCCTATACTATATGTGTTAAAATTTTCTGCTTGTTTTTGTGGTTTATTTTTACGCCTCCTTATTATTCTCCATTCCACATATTTTTTGACTGCGGCCTCTAGTTCTTCTATGGTGTCCACCCTTTTTCCTAAGGCTACCACTTCGTCAACGTCTACCATTGCAAGCCAATCCATTTCTCTATACCAACTATGTTAGTAGGCGCTACGCTATATTATATATGTAAAAGAAAATTGATGTATTTTTTATAGAATTAAGTAAGCTGCCCCTCCAACCACCCCACCTATAATTAAACCAAAGATTGCCATATATTCTTCCATCTCAGAGCTAGGTTTGTAGTGATTACTTAACTGCGGCCTCCTCGGCATAGCCTTACGTGTTAACTCATTGATTCTTCTAACGAGTTCCAGTGACTTATTCGTTGAATTAATATCCTTATTTGCCTCGGCTAGTTCCGACTTTAGTTCAGCAATCCTATTTCTTCTATCAGTGACCTCTTCAAGGTACTTCTCTCTTTCAGCTGTTAGGTTCTCCATTGCAAGGTTATGTCTATGAGCTTCCTCAGCGTATCCATTCTTGTCAAACATTTTAAATAAGAATCCTGCTCCTGCAAATGCAAATGCATTAAATAGTCCTCCTGCTACTGCTCCCGCCATTGTATAGTCTTACCTAGGTTTGAATGGATCATCTGGTATATACTTCTTTTCTTTCAGGTAGGAGACTAGTAGAGATGAGAGGCTAACTGAAACAGCTAGCTTTGCCATTCCTTTTACATTCTCTGGGGTGCCTAATGGTTCTTTTAATAGTTTTTTCGATGCCATTGATATACCAACTGCTCCTGCTGTAAGTAACACTGCGTTGTACACTTCCGCGGTCATCTTTGATTCTTTACTCATCTTGCTATAATATATATTATGTTTAACGTATCATTCAAGTGAATCAACTTAGACGCATCAGCTTTCCTGGTTACTTCTACAGTTTCAGGGATGTACTTAGGTTCTAGTTTCTTTGTTTCCCTCTGATGCTGGTTGAATGCTAGGACAAGGGATACTAATGCGATGACCACTCCTACATATGCGATCATGTTATTGCTGGATGACTCCTCAGGTTCTGCAAGTTTCTTTTTCCTCTCCTTTGCTATTTTACTGATTGCAGCTAATCGTTTTCCTGCAGCTACTCTTTTTGGGTCTTTCTTCTTTTCACTTGTTACTGCTTGAGTTTGCTCAGGTTTATCTTCCATTCTACTTGTAAGATACCTTAGGTTTAACTGGGTTTTATCTTGTGAGACATCTAGAGTCTACTTGTGAGATAACTCAAATTTACTTGTAAGATGTCTCAAATCTACTGGTGAGATAACTTAAATCTGCTGGTGAGATAACTGGTGAGATAACTTAAATCTGCTGGTGAGATAACTTAAATCTGCTGGTGAGATGACCTGACTAGCAGTAACGTAGTTACTGGACGCTGCTAGCGCAGCTAGTACTTACCTGAACTGAACCTAGGTCTGTACAACCTTACAGCGCACTGTGTGTTGTTCACTGTGACCTTCTTTGCGACCTTCTTAAGTGAAAAGTATTCGTTGATTCTAATGCAAGTCTTTACAAGGTCATCTGACACCATCACCATGTAACCTATCTTTATAAGTTTGTGGAACCATAACACTTGCCTTTCACTTGCGACTCCGGTGCCTTTTGGAGACTTGAATTCAATTGCAAATCCTTTGTACTTCCCCATAGGATTCTCTATAATAATATCTGGCTGACCACCTTTGTATCCCTTCTTCCAGGCATCACATTTCTTAGATGATGTGTCCTGATACTCACCTAGACCGGGTATTACCACAGCCTCTGGGTAGTTGTCCCTGATGTAACTCACGACTGTGTGGTGGAGGTCTGTTTCATTTAATAGGATCATTTGGTTGTATCTAAGTGCCCTTCTATCTGGTAAGTTATAAGATCCCGTTTTCCGTATAGATGGGAGGACTTCACTAAATACCCACCTCCTAAACTCCTTTGCTGTGTTAAGCTCTGATCCGAAAATTAACTGGTACAAACCCTGTTCTGTAATTAAAATAGAACCAGGCTGACCTTTCAAGGGGGGTCCCTCGAGGGCACCCCTTTGGATTGACCCTAGAGTGCACTTATCCTCTTCCCAAACATAGTTTCTAATTGCTTTTTTCGTGTTCGAGTACCCTAGAGATTCTGCCACATCTTTTGCATAAAACAGTACCTCCTCACCACTCTTAACAGTTCTCACGCTAACATTCAACTCTCGGTTTCTGAATAGTTTTTCCATCTTTCTCTATACTATATATGTAAAAATTTTTGGGCCTATTTTATGGCTATTTAATTTTGATTTATGAAGCAGCATTCCCTCTACCCACCCAGCTGCTTATTATAACTATGTACATCCCTTAGCAAATAAAATACTATACTCCATGAAGGTTCTTGTATATCTTTATTACTGTTTTAACTGTGTCATCCTTAAAGTTGTAGAAGTCATTCTGGAGAGGTAGTATAACCTTATTCTTGAGTGCATATAAGTCCCTCTCAATTGCGTCAACTTTCTTCCCAATCCTATCTATCTTTTCCATGCTCCTATTGGTTTTCTCAATCAATTCGTTGATTATATCTTCGAACTCTGTTCCTTCCCAAGCGTTCTCCCACTCGTGGTCTGACATTCTTCTTCACTATGTAATAAGATTTGTTTTGCTTCCTCAGATATTTCCTCAGTCTTTCCCTTCTTATTCCACTTGTGAGCAACCACGTGCTTAGCTGTTGTGCATCCACCTGATATGAGACCAATGAATGGAATGTTTGGGGATATCATTCTAGTTAGATATGATACGTCATCCTTTAAAAGCTTATCACTAAGTAGTTCCTCTGACAGCTTCTCAGAAGATTCCACCGCATTAAAACTTCCTAGTATGGAAGCAAACTTTGAGATAATAAGTGTTGATAAGAAGTCACTTGCGCATGACATCCTCTGACTTTCATACTCACTGTAAAGTCTATCCACAACATCTTTGTTGGACTTTCTTATGAAACTTGCGGTCTTCTCTATTACACCGTCCTTAGATAGCTCTATAAGCTTGTCTCTTTTATGTTCAGTTTGCGACTTATCTGCGGCTGACTTAGTTTTTCTTGCGGTAGACTTAGCTTTCTTTTGCGGTGTCTTTGCGGCCTCTTCTACTTCCCTCACAGCTGCAGATATTTCTTCATCAGATTCAGATCCCATCTTTTATATCCTACGTGATGTTTTGTTTGATAGTGTATGTGTAAGGGTGAATAAGTAGTATATCTAATGCGGTGAACTTCTCATCTTTTAGTATTTTCGTAATCTCTGTAATTGTCTCCTGAGGAACGCCACTTAGGTAATCATCTGTTATGACCTTCATATCTCTGCGACTAGGGTTGTAGAATGTAACTAACCTGGAAATGTTCTCCCTGAATGGTTTTGCTACTGATGACAGTTGTTGGGTAATTACAATGACAGATATATTGTAATGTCTTGCAGAGAATGCTAGGCGCACCAGTTCTGAGACTCTTTTCTTTACATCTTGACTTGCCGCACAATCGTCCACTATAATGAGAGTCTGAGTACTGCGGAATATGGTGGACACTGCCTTGAGAATAAGATTGATCATTTCTTGTGAGCATGGAATTTGTATGACTCCACGGTCACTAATATGAGCCCAGTTAATGTAAGTCATATTCCATTCTATTGTTGGACATATAATAACAATATAATCAAAAACTTTATTGTATTCTATTTCTAACATATTAAGTAAGAACTGAGTCTTACCACTTCCAGTCATTCCTACTATGAGCATGTTGAATGGAGGTATTATATTCATCTCTATGCTTTACCGTTAGTACTAGCAGCGTCTACTGACGTAGTCGGTACAAGTTAATATTGAATACTTGATAGATCTCTATTTGCGAAGTTAAGGAGAGCATCTGATACAATAAAAATGTTGCACTGAACGTCAGCTGTTGTGGCTCTCTTTTTGATTTCCAGGAGTACTCCAGATTGTGTGTTAACAATCTTCTTGCCTCCACCAGTGGTATCATCTTGTGTTGATCTTAGATCTATTACTAGAGCGAAACCATTGGTGAAGAACTTACTGATGGACATAAATTCGTCTGCCATGGATTTCTCACACATAGGGCAGAAGAATCTTTTTGCCTCTTCGAAGAACCTATTTTTATGAAGTCCTTGGGAGAAAACTGCATTAGGCACACCCTCAATGGTCAGGTTCACTTTATCAATGTTTGGGTAAATATATTCTTCAGAATTGGTTCTCACTCTATTGGTAAATAGAAGGACAATTGCTGACATGCTCTT